CAATTTGTTGTGCTGCAAGCTTTGCTAGACTACGTATTTAACGTCGACCAGCCTTCCTACGAGTGCTAGCGGGGATTTGTTCTACACTCCTGCCGAGTAAGGACGGCTTTCCAGATGCGATGCGAAGAGCCTTCGCTATGCAACGTGCGGGTTATTTGATTTGTTTAAATTAAGTGCTCTGTCCAATGTTCTCCGCCTGTCTTTCTTCTGGGAGCCCGAGCGCCGAACAGAGTTTTCAACAAGAATGTGCTTCCCGCTCCTTCCTTTCCACCGTACTGCGTCTCTAATAAACCTCTACAGAGTATTTCTCCGCTCCGCCCTTTAAGAAATGTTCACGCTGTGGGGATGAAACAGTTACACGCCGCTGCTTAGGCTCTGGCTGGCTGTTCAAGTATGCTGTTTGAGCAGGATAATACTGCTCCGTTCAATACGGAGGAGGCGTAACCGTGTGTCGATCCGAAAAGGTCGAGTCGAGGTGGCTGATTATATTGTTTTCCGTGCAGCGAGCAGAAATAACCAAGTTCGCGTGAATTGATTGGTACAAACGGACTTGGTGACCTTTCTTCCCCCTAATGACTCTTTGGGGATGGGTTGTTCCCGTAGAGTAGGGTTTTAAGGGAGACTTTTAGAGTGGGGGAAAAGTAGATGGATTCTCCTATAACGCGGTCCTCCTTTTATAGTATTCTACTTCGGTGCCGATTACTTTGCCCGCTCCTGCTACTGATTCATTTTCTGCCCCTTCTCCATCCGCTTCATCGAGATTTATTACCCTTATTGTCTTTTCCGCTTACTCCTTGAGTCATCTCGTCCCTTTGCCCCGCGTTTCCCCGTTCCTCATCGAGTCAGCCCCTTGTTCCGCTCCGTGCAGAGTCATATTATGTTCTCTGCTTCGGTTGATTTATACGCCCGACCATTCTTTTCCCCGCTCCTCAGCCTCTTTCTGCCTCATGAGTTTTCATGTTATATGTTCTTTCTTTTCTATCAACCCTTGTAGTGTTACTGGCTATGCTAAATCCAAAGATGTTTTCAATGGCCGCTCGTTCGAACCGGGCCAAGGGAATCAGCGCCATTATTGGGACGCCCTTCCAATAATGGCTTGCTGCTTTTTCCTTCTTCCAGTGTTGTTTTACCGTGCTCGTCTGCAATCTTTGCTCGATCGTTACCCGCTTGGGTGGCACCATTCCTGAGTTGCGAAGTGCCCAAGCGGCACCATTTCCCGAACCGTTGCAAAGTTCCTTGTTTTTTCTGTGATCTCCGCTCGATCGTTACCCGCTTGGGTGTTTCACCATTCCCAAGTTGTGAAGTGCCCAAGCAGCACCATTTCCCGAGCTGTTGCGAAGGGACGGCTCACACCGGACACCAGTGTACCGGTTGGTTGAAAACATTCTGTCAGTCACTCAGCCATGCCGAAGTGACACCGTTCATTTAATTCTCGGTACTATACTTTTCTGTACTTGTTCATGTTTAATTCTACAGTCTCTAAGTAAGTATAAAAACCTGTACTTATTTCATTCACAATTATCGAATTTACTTCTACAAGTTCTTCTCCAACCAGCTGCATTCTCAACATCGGCCAGGAGATTGAGCCACTGGTTGGACTTGTACAGAGAAATTTGTAGGGAAAAGTGCTGTGGAAATTAAACCAACCAACAACCTTCTTCCTGCAAGGTGAAGTATAATTTGTGATTCATTTCCAAATTAGCACCTATCGGGCTTGAGCCGTCAAAACATGAGACTGTGCTTCACATTTTGTTTAAATGCCACTGTCATGCACCGTGATGTCGGATCCGATCATTGCCAATATGCACTGATGTTTACTAACAACTCGTCTAGTTATCACACCGCATTGCGATGCTACACGACCAGTCAAATCGGCCATTCCGGTCATCCGATCCTGGATGACTCTTATATGCTATACTATGCTATGCGTTGACTTAAATACCCATGTGCTCCCATCATGAAGTCGGATCACCGGTTTCGCCGCGGTGACTATTACCTTAGTATAAGTAGTATGTTTGTATCTTCAGTTGTCTTCAGTTTGAATATCGACTAAGACTCGCTCTCTACTGTTTCCGCACTCCCGATCGGTGTCACGTACCGTGACTTCAGGCCGCATTCCACCCTTAAAACCATTCTCGTAATCCTCATCAACTCCACTCTCAGCCTTTTCAACCTACTTCTGGTCTACTATGATATAACGGTGCTCCTGGCCCCGATAGGGACCGGGCATGCTGATGTGTCACGGTGTCACGTACTGTGACTTCGGATCCGATTGGTGCCAATATGCACTGATGTTTGCTAATGACTCGTCCAGTTATAACACTGCATAGCGATGCTACACGACCGGTCAACTCGGCCATTCCGGTCATCCGATCCTGGATGACTCTTATATGCTATACTATGCTATGCGTTGACTCAGATACATCAGTAAAACAACAGGTTCGTCTTTGACGTCTTGGCCAGGATGCCAAAGACACCAAAGATGTGTTTTTTCCAAAGACGCCCGTCTTTGGCTAGGCAGGTTAAAAAGTCTTTGATAGGACATTTGTCTTGACAAAGATGGCAAAGACGTACATCTTCTTTCCCAAGACATTGCTCAAAGATCCCAAAGATGATTTGAATCGCAACAAAAGAGCAGGAAAAATTGTTTCGAATTCATCTTGGCGCCCATACAACATACAATACACTAATTAGAAACCACTACGTACAACGTCGGGATCCTCAACCAGTACCCTCTGCATCATGCCTTAATGCTCATCTTCCTACCCACAGACCAGGCTGAGGAATACGGTCGCACAACACTTAGGTTTAATGGTTTCAACTGGCCGAATGGCTCTGCAGTGAAATTTACTGGCACCGGTGGGACGGTATATGTCCACATTCCTCAAAAATTAAGATCAGTATCAAAATAGGGTGCACGAAAACACACCCACTTTTACAGCCATAAGAGAGCCCTCGGGTCTGGCTTCAGAGCGATTGTATTCAAGGGATTGGAGGAGACGATGGCTTGGCCAGCCGGATATGCAAACACGAAAATGAGGAACCTTAAACGAGTAACATGATAGCTGACACACCTTTCTTGCTTTGCTGTCGGCACACTGCTCACATTGTTTCCCTCGATAGTTACTCGTGCTCAAAGGATCTACGAGAAAATAAAATAAATGGGCAGGGTAGAACGGAAATAGGCAACGTACCAAAATATATCAGTTCTCAAATGTGGCAAGAAGGATACAGTGGCTGCATGCAATGTGTCTTGAGGTGCAACGATAGATCGAGAGCACCAGAAACCAGAAACCAAAGAAGAGCCGGACTACCACATTTGAGCCAGAAGGAAAAGCCACAGGCAGAAGATCCAGTGAACGAGTGTAAGAGGATGGGACAGAGCGTCTTGGGTATTATTTGCGTGCGTATCATTTACAGGCAAGAAAAGGCTCTTGAGTAATTTTGAGGATTCTTGAGGTATTTTGAGCTTGAGCATAGTACAGAAGCCATGATAGAGATGGGGGGAAGCAGGCGGCAGTGGGGGGAGGAAGGGAGGAGAGAGTAAGAGAGCAACAAGCAAGAGAGCAACAAACCAGTTGATGGGTGTTGCCAGGCACATCATCTCCAATGTCGGATCATGATCGAGCGGAGTTCGAATGACTTGTAACATTTTTGCGAACCTCTCTGTCTACTTATTCTCGACCTCTCTCGACTTGAGCAAATGACGGTCCACCGCCGCTGACCAGAACATGAAAAACACTTCCGAGTCATTGCAACTTCTACATTGTCATGTGATTTCCCTCGGTCAATACAATAGAAAGTGAATATCTGTTTGTAACCAATTTGTAACTTGAAGAACACACAACGGTTGATATTTCCAGAGTATCTGGGACTGCAGAGAAGAAAGTTGTCTCATATTCACCCACTAAATTTGAGCACATAAAAATTATTTCTCTCTGAGACCAACATTTTCTGCAAAGACTTGCAAGACAATTCACCCAAGACAAAGACACCAAAGATGGTTCAGCAAAAACCTAAGATGTCTTCCCAAGACAAAGACAGCTCCCAAAGACCAAAGACGGCTCCCAAAGACGAAAGATGCCAAAGACGAACCTGTAGTTTTACTGATGTACCCATATGCTCCCATCGCGAAAGTCGGATCACCGGTTTCGCCGCGATGACTATTGCCTTAGTATAAGTAGTATGTTTGTATCTTCAGTAGTCTTCAGTTGGAATATCGACTAAGATTCGCACCTTCCTCTGTTCTCATATCTCAACTAGCTTCTGGCTCCCGACCGGCCTCCCGATCGGACAGCCGATCGGTTTCCCGATCGGGCAGTGTCTCTTTGATCCCATCAATCACTCGGAGACCCTTCGGCCTTTGTCGCTGGAGCTCCAGCAGGCTTTTCATTAAAGTCTGTATTCCTGTGTGGATTGTTTGTGACATTGCGAGGACTCTTTCACGATTTCTTAGGGACTCCTTCACAACTCAATAGGAGTGTCATCGCATCTCCAGTCGATCCCTGGCTGGACCTCCGGCAGGGCATTGGTCCTTCGGAAACCCTCTGGGACTTCATTCAGATCTGTTCTTGAAATTGGGCTCTGGACGTAGAGAAGGGCGCAGTGCACGAGCTGAAGCCAAGCCCACTCCAGATCCTTCGGCTACCCATACCATCAGTCATCCGTACAGCCCCGAGGATACACGGTCCTTGACAATCGGTCCCACCAATCTCGCTCCCGATCGGTCGGCTGTACTATCAAAATTGGACTCTGGGCGTAGAGAAGGGTGCAGTGCATGGGCTGAAGCCAAGTCCACTCTAGATCTACCGGCAACCAGATTATTGGTCCCGATTCGGCCCCATGGATATACAGTCCTTGACAGCCACCTTCTACATCACACTCCGTGGATGCTGACCCCCACATTCCTCTTGTGTTAAAATCCAACACTAGGAAAAAATCAACTGCCTCTCATCAAAAAAAAAAAAAAAAAAAAAAAAAAGAGCTGAAGGAAAAATACGTGGACACTGTAGGATTTGAACCAACGACCTTTCGCATGCATCACGTGATTTATTACGTAATCCAGTGGTGCGAAGCGAACGCGCTACCCCTGCGCTAAGCGCCCGATGAATTTCCGTCTAATATTGAAGGTAATGAGGTCAGAGAGGGCTAAATTGCACTGAGTCGTGATCAAATTTGGACTTGTGTTTTCTTGTAAGAAGAGATGAGATGAGATGGGAGGGGAATGCCATGAGGCACTAGTATTTGAGCTTTGAGGAACGCGCTACCCCTGCGCTAAGCGCCGATGAATTTTTGTGTAATATTGAAGGTCATGAGGTGAGAGAGGGCTAAATTGCACCAAGTCACGATCAAATTCGGACTGTTTTTTGGCAAGAGCAAGACAGGAGGAGAGGAGAGGGGGATGCGATGAGGCACTAGTATTTGAGCTTTGAGGTACGCGCTACCCCTGCGCTAAGCGCCCATGAATTTTTGTGTAATATTGAAGGTGCTGAGAGAGGGCTAAATTGCACCATGTCGCGATCAAATTCGGACTCTGTTTTTTGGCAAGAAAACAAGAGGAGAGGAGAGGGGTATGCGATGAAGCACTAGTATTTGAACTTGGAGGAACGCGCTACCCCTGTGCTAATTGCCCGTGTTTTGTGTTGAGGTGACGTGTGAAGAATGGACACAGTGGTATTAATATTAATATCTCACCACTATTTGCAACCTCAGTATGCGAGCGGCTATCCCTGCACTGAGTGTAGTTTTTTTTTTTTTTTTTTTTTTTTTTTTTTTGAGGGAATGCCGTACCCCTGCGCCAAGCGTTAGGAGGAACGGGCTACCCCTGCGCCAAGTGTTACGAGGAACGGGCTACCCCTGCGCCAAGTGTGTCGTTGATTTGATTTGATGTGAGCAAGCTCAATCGAACATTCATTAATGGCCGCTTGCGAGTTTGATTTCCCCCCCTCCAGTCAATGCCAGAGGAGGGACATACATAACGTAGGTAGCCCAGAACGCCTGTACTTACTCGGGCCGTTTCTCTCAGTGATGTATATCCAGCGCCCCATTCATGGAGACTCCCGGCGGCGGCCGCGTTCAAAAACTCACCAAAGTAGAACACTTCAGGAGGGGGCATACATAGATGGTTGCATATAAGTAAATAAGTGGTTCCGTCGTTGCACGGGTTGGGTTTTTAAAATTCCCCCCTCCCGTCAATGGAGGAAGTAGATACATAACGTAGCTAGCCCAGAACGCCTGTACTTACTCCGGTCGTTTCTTTCAGAGATCGATACCCAGAGCTCCATTCAAGTTGTCGTACAAACACCACCTTCACACAACCAAAACTGCAGGGCCCGGGCATAAATAGATGGTTACATATAAATAAATGGTTCAGTCGTGGTATGGGTTGGATTTTCGAGTACTATCGAAGGTAATGAGGTGAGAGAGGTTTGAATTGCACTAAATCGAAATCAAATTCGAACTTATGTTCTTTTTTTCGGTGTCGGGAAAACCTGAACCAGTTGCATTTCCAAGACGGCAGACTTTGGTGAGAATGTGATCGAGTTTCCAGTGGTGCGAACAGAGGCGCAACCCACCCTACGTCCGCATAACAACCCGTCTGAATTCGCCTACCTACACAGCGATGACAGCTACGAATGCCCGTAATTTCAACCATAATTATCAGCAGCCCTATTCTAAAGTTTCGCCAATAGGAATCTCCAATCAAAATCAGGCAACATTTGAATGTTGGAAGTAAACACTCACATTCCGTCACAACGCTTCAGAATTCTTCTGTCCGTCGACTCTCGCGAAGTCGATGAGTTGTCAGTGGGCTCCAGAAGGCCGGTAGACTTTAAATGATCCTCCTCGTCGCCCGGGACATCCAGAGTTTTAATACCCAAAATGATGCGGTCGATGTTAAGGTGAGTTCGCGAAGTAAACATCAACTTGACGGCTGGCCCCAATTCCGAAAGATGGCGGAGCAGAGTATCCCGGTCGTCCTCGGGATAATCATCAAGTCCAGCAACCACAATGAAGGCACAGGAGTGTCCAACCGCAGACTGAAGTACGCGATAGATCTCCTCAAGGCACGGACGTGTGTGGCGTTTTTTGTACTGCTCATGAACCTCGGAGGATGTGGGATTTTCGCCAGAAATTTGGGCCCAGGTAGCGGCGAGGAGATTGGTCGAAGACTGTGCCTCTGTTTCCTTGCGATCAAGGTCAAGCGCCGCGACAAGCATGGTCTCGTTTGCCACATTTGCTCTGAGATCCTCGACGACGATTGAACTATTGCGTGGCAAGATTACGACGAAAAAGTCAGTCTACCTGGGAGTACGCACGCAACAGCCTTTCCCGCCTTCCCTTCATTCAAATGTTAATCAGAAGAATAATATCGCAGTGTAGTGTAATAGAGAAACTCACGTATGCCGCGACAGTATAGTGCCTGAATTTCGCCCGCTTTCCATTCTTTGAACAGGTTGTGCTGAAGAAGCCATTCAGAAGTTCCTGATTGATGTCTATCCATGTTCGCTTGAAGTGAGAGTAAATTGAGGGGGGAGACTTACCTAATTATCCTCTCGCGCTCCGGCAGGTGGTTTTGTATCACAATAGTTTTGGCCTGAAAGCTGGGACCGTGTCCGTGACCCCCAACACCACCCTCTCTGCCGCCTCGTCCGCCAGGGCCTCCTGTACCTCCTGGGAAACTTTAATATCGATGTTGATGTCCTAACTAATTTTGCCCGTACCAGAGACGTGCGAGATACAGATTACCGTCTCAGTCGTTTGCAATTCGCCAGCCTGATAAGGAGCGGCCGGTGTGGACCGTTTCTCGAAGGTGGAATGGGTATTGGCTGTCTGGAAAGGCGCGGCCGGTATGGCCAGGTCGTTGAAAGATCTTGGCAACGGAATGAGTGCTTTGTCATTTTCATTGAACCATGTGGGCACGTACAATTGTTCGGCCTCATTCCTCTAGGGTGCCGGGGTCAACAAAAACGATTCAGTGACATAAAAACTCACTACCTGTTAAAAGAATTCGAATGGATCAGGCAGCGTAGACGCATCAATCGGGGCGAAAAACTCACCTCCTGGTGAAAGAAGAATCCGGACGGGTCAGGCAGCATAGGCGCTTCAGTCGAGGGGACAAAGACTCACCGACCGTTGGGCATACACGGTGCGGCGTATATGGACACGGCGGAATAACTTTTGTTCAGCTTCTTCATTTGCTTGTCTGGTTAGGTATAACATCGGCCACTCATGATATCACGACACAAAGGGCCACGTACACTAGTTGTGGGGTCATGATCTCCTCCGAGTCCTGATCTTGCCCTCCGATCCGGTATTTTCTCGCACAGGTGGTATTAACACTTGAATGGAAATGACAACATAGTTACAAAAGAAAAAGCAGAGCGACGCACCACTTGAACCACCCGTATCCTGTCGTGATTGCTTGTGGACAACAACAACGTGGACAAGTAGTATTCTGGATCGTGTCGCACCGGGTTTGAACCTGCCGTTGGAGGATGCTTATCTCGAGCAGCATGCCTGCCCTTACTGTCCGAGCGAACTCCGCAGGTACGATGAAGCTGCCGTCCTCAGATACTATGCTGTAGTCTCCGCGCTCGACATAGCGAGCCCCAACCCTCGGGCGGCAACGAAAATTCTGTCTTGATATGCTTGTCGAGGTCCTTTAATACTTCAACTTCCGTTCCAAGAGTTATGGCAAACGCGTGCTTACCGAATAATCATGACAATACCGCAGCGACACAGGGATATAGCTTCCTACAGGGTCGATTACATAGCACAGTTGGTCGGAGACACCACGCGGGACATGACTCCTGATGGCCAGGACCTGCGCACGCCGCGTTTCGCGCCGCGTTTCAAGCCACAAAAGGATGATTGGGGTTCCGAAAAACAGACGAGGACCTTCGCGTACCCTGCCGCCCCAGCCAATGCCGTGACCATTCCCTCCGTTTCCGCCATTACTTCCAAAGCTTGCAATTTGGGTAGTGCCCTGAAGAATGGGTTGCACGATGCTCAGCCGGATCTCCAACCGCTGTGCTAGCGGCCAGACGAGCAGCTGACCTGCGTGAGGCGGGTTGCAACGCCTTTGGCAAAGTCGTCTTGATCTACAAAACCGAGTTCTAAACCGAGATCATGACTCTGTTTTCGAAGTTCATTCCACAAGGTGTCGGGATCTCTCTCCTGGGCGGCCATGCGGTGCTTTGGGGACGGTGCGGTGGGCTCCTCGTAGCCGGAGTTGGTAATGATCCACTGCTAGTTTTGCTGCCAGTAACATATTAGGCGCCGATGGCTCATTGACCGCGATTCTCGGGTGATGCCGGGACCGGACTATGAATTTGCATTTTACATTCAGTAAGTAGAGTATTTTTTTTTTGGTAAATTTACAGCTATCCGCAAAACCGTAGACGTTTTTGAAAAAAAGTTGAGTTGATCAAAAGTGATGTCCTCAACCTCGTGCCTTCGCTCCACCAACGCCGTCAACACATCGCCCAGTTGCCCAAGGGCCGTTGACACGATAATAGCTTTCTACTACTGGGTTAGATAGCAAAGGTAGTGTTGTGGCTGAGAATAGTATGTTTGTTGGTCAAAAATACGAGCACAAGCATTGACGCTGCCGTCAACATTTGCTATTTTAATCCTGGAACTCCACTTTTGATCAACTGAACTTTTTTTCAAAAACGTCTACGGTTTTGCGGATAGCTGTAAAGGACAGAAAACGGGCAACAGGTAGTCTGTCTCTTTTTATAAAATTGCTTTGTCTGACAGCTATTTTGAAAACGATAGCCAATTTTCATTCTCGAGCAGAGTTCGGCACGATACACCGGCTCCACCCAGATGCAGCTATCCGCCGTAACCGAGCTCCACACTGTCTAAAATGTTGATCTCGAGTTGGTTTTTGTGGACAGTGTGGAGCTCGGCTGCTCCGAGCCGAACTTTGCTCGAAAATGAAAATTGGCTATCGTTTTCAAAGTAGCTGGAAGCCTTTTGAACTTCGACAGGGAATCACTGTTTGGCGCCGGTACGTGATGTAGCGCCACGACAACCTTTGAGGGCGAAAGTGCTGGGCCGCGCGCTCTCCTACACTGCACTAAGCGCCCCATGCAT